CTGGGTAAAGTGCAATTCATAAGATGGTTTATTTCTAAATTAACTTTGACTTGTGAACCACTTTTTGGTCTCCTGAAGAAAGGAAAGACATTCTGATGAAATGATCGGTGCCAATTCACTTTCGAGCAGATCAAGCAGTACCTTCAGAATCCACCTGTGTTGTCGTCACCAGAGCTGGGGAAGCCTTTGATTCTGTATCTGTCACTAACGAACGCAACGATAGGATGCATGCTTGCTCAAGAATCTGAGGATAGGGTGGAGAAAGCCATCTATTACCTGAGCAAGAAATTGCTAGATTATGAGACCCGCTACACTCCGCTAAAGAAAGCTTGCCTAGCCTTGGTATGGGCTACCAAGAAGTTGAGGCACTACCTGTTAGCTCACTCCGTAATTCTGGTTTCGAGATTAGGTCCCATCAAATATCTCTTTGAGAAACCAGCGCTTACGCATAGGCTAGCCCGTTGGTTGCTTTTTCTCTCCAAATTTGATTTGAAGTATGTCACTCGTAAGTCTGTCAAGGGGAGAGTAATAACAGAGTTCCTGGTAGATCACCCAGTAGAAGGGGATGAAGCGATAGAATACCTGTTCCTAGATGAAGCCATTCTGCAAGTCGAGGAAGAGATCTGGACAATGTACTTTGATGGAGCGTCTAACCAGTACGGTTATGGGATAGGATTGTTGCTGATAGCACCCGACAATTCCCATATACCTTGAGCCTTCAAACTCCAGTTCAAGGTATCTAATAACGAAGCAGAATACGAGGCGTGTATCGTTGGTTTGGAAGCCGCCCTAGAACTAGGGGGCAAAAAGGTTGGACGTCATCGGGGACTTGAACCTAGTTGTGTCTAAAGAAAATGGAGACTGGAAGGTTAAAGAAGAAAAGATGAAGATTTATCACCAAACCCTGGACGTTCTGATTCCTAGGTTTGAAAAGCTGACCTTCACTCATCTACTAAGAGAGAACAACAGGTTTGCTGACGCCTTATCAACTCTATCATCCATGATAGACAACCTGCTTGGAGTCCGGATGCGTCCGATCATCATTGAGCAGAGGTATACGTCGGCCTACGAGACCATCGCCGCAATAGAAGAAGCGCAAGATCAAAACCCTTGGTAGTATGATGTCTAGAACTTCTCGGAAAATGAGGTTTATCCACCAGGGGCAAATGCCAAGGATAAGAGGGTAATATGGTGGATGGCCGTTCAATTTATCATCTGCGGAAATAAACTGTACAAGAGGGGTCATTTGGGAATGCACAAGATATGTGTTGATGCGGAGGAATCAAAGCACCTGATGGAGGCCATCCATGGAGGAGAGTGGGGAGCGCACATGAACGGAGTAATGTTAGTTCAGAAGATTCTCAAGCAGAGTTATTACTGGTTTACTATGAAGGAGGATTGTATTGGTTTTGTTTGGCGATGCCACAAATGCCAAATTCATGCCAATTGCATGAATATCCCGCCGTCGAAGCTGTACAACATGACTTCACCATGGCCGTTTTTAGTCTAGGAAATTGACGTCATCGGTGCAGTCACACCGAAAGGGTCAAATGGGTATGAATACATTCTGATGGCAATTGATTACTTCACGAAGTGGGTGGAAGCTCAGTCTTATGCAGTGTTGAAAGCAACACATGTGGCCAAGTTCATCCGAAACAACATCATTTGCCGATATGGAGTCTCGAACGAGATTATCTCAGATAATGGTTCCTATTTCAAGAAAGAAGTGATCGACTTGTTGGAGAAATACAACGTGGCTTTCCATAAGTCATCTATATACCAGCCGCAAACCAACGAAGCTGTTGAGGTCGCCAACAAGAACATCAAGCATATCTTATAGAAAATGGTCGAGACCTATAGAGACTGGCCAGACAAATGGCCATTTGCGCTCTAGGGTTATAGAACTTCGATCCGGACGTCTATAGGGGTAACTCCCTACTCTATTGTGTATGGGATGGAGCCTGTTTTACCGATCGAAATAGAAGTTCCATCGCTGTGGGTTATGGCTGAATGTCAGATAACAGAGCAGGTTCGAAGAACTGATGTTGTTTGATGAGAGAAGGCTGAAAGCACTCTACGATGTTAAGGGTTATCAATGCAAGATTGCTAGGGCCTTTAACAAGAAAGTTAAGTCCAAGAATCTCAAAGAAGCGGATTTGGTGCTGAAAGACAATCGAGCTCCCATCCATGACCCTAGGGGCAAGTTCAGACCTAATTAGACTGGTCCTTACATCATTCAAACTATCTGGTCGGGTGGAGCTGTTTATTCTTATGGACCTGGATGGCCTAGCATTTTCCCAGGCGATCAACATAGACAAGTTGAAGAAGTACTACCCCTGAGAGGCTCGCTAGGCCAAAAACCCAGAAGGGCGACCTAGGCAAAAGTTAGAGCACAAAAAATTAGAAAAAAGAAAAACTGAGCTCACAAGGTTGAAAACCCTAAAGGGCGGCCTTGGCAAAAGTTAGAGCGCAAAAGGAGAGTGTTAATACTCGAGTGAACCCGAACTGAACTACGTAAGGCCTTATTCCCATCTTCGGGATACGTAGGCAACTTAATCCTGAAGTTCGGTCGTAAACACCTCCAACTTAACTATCCTGTCCATGTGTTGATCACGTCATCTTTGTCTATTCTTTATCTGAATGTTCAGTTGTGATCCTTATTCAAAGAGCGGGTTACTGTGCTGAGCAGTGTTATTCAGTCAAGGGATAATTTTTCATTTTTGGATTCGGGGTTGTACATCTCGAGGATAGATTCCATGCGTGTCAAGTTGTGATCCTTATCGAAAATGACTTTTGAAAAGTTTTGATAAAAGTTGATTTTTTTTCAAAATTTACCTTTTATAACTTACACTATTTTTGGACCAAAAGGAAAATTTTCAGTGCTCACAACTTTAATTTCATTGATTTCAATACAAAGTTCTCCAACTCTTGATACAAATCAAAGTTGCTTTTATTACATGCATAAAACTTGAAAAGTAAGATCAAAGCAATAAACTAGGGGAATAGATGAGTCAGGTGTTCCTGCGTCCCCCGCTTGCGCTTGTGGAAGCCTTTGATGCTAAAGTGGACCCAGCTTGTGCCTCATCCTCCAGCCAAGTTAGGCACTCGCCGGAAATGGCGCAGTTGAAACTAGAGGTAGGAGCCAGAAGCTCTCTCGTCTTCCAAGCAGTGAGGTACCTAGCCAAATGTGAACCTCGAACGGGAAATGAAATCGGGTACTCTACACCCTCCTCTGGGCAAATCTGATCATGTCCAAACTGATGTTTGAACTAGAATGGAAAGTAGAATACAAAGTGTGTCAAGCCGATTAGCTAAATGCCAGGTTGCCGAGACATGCTGTAGCTCATTTCGGTCAAATCAAACCAGGGGCAACGCCAAGCAATGTTAGCAGCAGACCTATTGCACATCCAATGGCACCACCATCCCTCGTTCGGGAAATCCACTAGCTGTTGGCAGAAAAAATATGCTCGGGCAAAGTATGCAGGGCAAGAGTCCACTACTTTCAGCTTGTCCATTAGCTATATCTGGGGAGGGATGAAAGAAAAGAGAAATTAAAGAATAGAGAGATGTATGTTAAGAGAAAAAGTGAGAAAAGGGCTTTGAGAGAAAAATAGAGCATGAGTGCCGAGAGATGTGAGAAACACATATTAGAAAGGGTGGGAAACATTACTTGAAGAAGTAGTGGACTCCTCGCGAATTTGTTTGTCTCTCGCCGATGGAAGGCGTCTAGGCCCATCAAAGTTTCGGCCAACACTAAGCCAATGCAACTGTTGTCCTCTTTCAAACCTTAGGCCACTTCGATGAGTTGAATGCTAGATCCGCCGAAACCAGGGGTGAGAAGGAAATGAGCTAACGTGCACAAGCAAAGGGCGTGTTTTCGAAAACCCCGCCAAAGAAGATTACTGCAGTTGCCGACTTCAAAAAATTGACGGATGAGACTGGGGATATCTAGCTCTCCATTGTGAACCAAGGATCATGCCTCATGTAGGATGAGCTCGCACATCCATCCCAAAGCTTGGATGTGACCAAAACGGGGCTGAGGTAAGATTTCCTTATCGCGCCGGGACTGCATTAGCACTTGAAATTCTTCTATTGTTGGGCATATCTCTTGTCCCCCGAAGCTAAAGACATGTGTAACCGGATTCCAACATCTAGTCGCAGCATATAAGAACGGAAAACAAAGCGAAGAACGACTGAGCGGGAATAGTGCATTTATGCCAAAACCAAATTCACCTTTTTCGAGCCATCTAAAGTTTCAATCCAATCCGAGAGGTTTTGAGCAAGAAATGGCTCCATTTGTGGCAAAAACAACAGCCAAAATGAGTTCTGGAGAAGAAATGACGAAGCTAAACCTTTTTTAGAAGATAAGGCAGTGAGTGGAAGCCAGCTGTCAATAATCTGGAGGTTCCTCACATTAATGGCCGACCAGCCATTAGTGATAGCCGACAGGCCACTCGACCGGCCACTGACAAATTCTATTTATGGTCGATAGTCCTTTTGACAAGTTTGTCATCCATCTGTGTGCTGGGAATACTGAAGGCATGGGTTTTGTTCTGTTCTTTATGCATCTTAAGGTCTTGTTTTGAGTCCTTTTAGTTCTAGCAAGTTTGTTAAGTTGTACTTGAGTTGTTTTGTGTTGTTTATCGAGTTGTTTTGTTTTTCTTATTGAGTTGTTGCTATTTCGATTATCGAGTTGTATGTTGCGTTTAGTGTTTCAAGTATTGGTTGGTTCATTACCTGAGTAAGAAAGTTATGCCAATACCATGTTCAAATTTCATTATCAAAATTCAATCTCCATTCCATGCTAAGTGGTGCTCATGATGCAAAATACAACACTTTTTCAAAAATGTATTGGTTTTTATTCCGATCATGGTCATGTTTTTACAAAAAGTGCAATATAAGTTTTCAAAGCGAATAAAACCTGTCTGAAACTGTACAATGTGCTAACATTACTAACAAAAGAAACTAAACAAAAGTACAAAAAATCTGTGCCAGCTATCTCAAGCTCGAGAGGCTCTCTTCATCCTTTTCCTAGGCGGGGTCTCAGAGCTGTCTCCATTTGCATCGCTGTCTAAACCAGAAGCCGAACCAGAACCAGAGTCATCGCCGCTCTCTGCCTCAGAACCCGACTTAGCATCACCTTCATTCTCAGATCTAGAGTCGCCATCGTCTCCACTGTCAGATGACTCAGACTGTGGACTGACTGCCTCCTCGGAGTTTCTCGTTTCCGCATCATCATCACTTATAATGGGCTTTGAAGGACCACTCTTATGTCAGGTACCCCTAGCTCTACCTCGACCGCGTGCCGGAGCCTGTCTCTCTCTCCTCCCTATTGCTGGAGGAGGCACCGCTGGTGCAGGTGTTGCAGCTGCCGCTGGTGTTGTCAGTATGGGTGGGACTTGAAAAAATAGTTGTCATATGTCAGCCACAATATGTGTATTAGATGCAAGTATGGTGTGCAGAATGAGTATATGCAGAAGTCAGGTACAATGTATGAATACAGTATGGAAGTACTGTATTTCAGATGTAGTGTATCAGTGCAGTGTGAGGAAGTTTTTAGTTGAAATGACAATTTTAGTGTGTCTGTGGAGATTTGATGACTGGAATGCAAGAAAACTAAAGCAATGACCTGAATGCTATGGAAGTTGAGCAGTGCCTCCCTCCTCAATCATACCCTCAAATGAGGCTAGTAGCTCCAGCAGATTCTTAGTGTATCCTGGGGGTGCCTACAAATGCATTGGGAATGATCAATCTCCAGAAGGAGCAAATATCAGAAAGAGATGGGAAAACAAAAATGTGGTACATACCGGGAGTGCATTAGGAGCTCTGACATATCTATGTCCCGCTGCAGCAGGCTCAATCGGGATCTGGTATGTCTCCCCAGTATACCACCAACATGTGAGTGTAGTAGGCAGCTCTGGCCAGCCGGTCCTCTGCCCCGCCTGGGTAGCCCCTTTGCTATGTGCCCTGGTCGCCATGGGCACTCTATCTCTCTCTCTCTCGTAGCTGGAGCCCTCGTCCCCTCACCTCTATGAATACTGGTCAAAGGGGACATGAGGTGTGTCTGGATAAAGGTCGAATAATCCCCCTCCCCGCGAAAGTAGTCGGTCTCCAAGCCCTTCGCGAATTGAATCATCTCCTGGAAAGTGAGTCTTTTTGTAGCTCTTATAAATGGCGGGGGCGGCATGGAAACTATCGGCTTGGGCAGACCCATGGTCTGGCGCAAGAATCGCTTGCCGAGAAACCAGGCTTGACAAACCGAGCCCTCGAACAAAAGTAAAAAATGGAAGGCCCCCCAAGCTCCATTGTACTGGTCCCTGACTCCGGCTGGCATTGTGGCCCAGGGTTGCCAAGTGATCTGTAAATAGAGAATGCACAGATTGTTAGTTGCCATCAGATATCGAAGTATGAATCAAAGCCCAAGGAGAATGAAAACAACTGTGAATTGTGAGTTACCTCTGTCGCGGTCACTGTGTCAAAGTACCGATGAAAAAATATGAAAGTCTCTCGGGTCCTCTGCAGGCATCTCCCGTCATACCGGTGAGAGTATGGTACAACGAGGGGTATCTCCACTTTCGGCTCTGAAGCGAGGGTCGGGAAATATGTGTATATCCATAGCTGTAAGGAAAAGGCAACAGTAAGTATACAATGTACAAAAACTGCAGAAAGCAAGATGAGTGTGTAATGTACAGAGGATGCAGATATAGAATATATGAGATAGCATGTATGTACAACGTACAGATAGTACAAGTCTAAATGCAGAAAGCAGAATGTGTGGTACAGTGTACAAAGTGCAATGCAGATGTAAACGATGCAGTATGTAGTGTGTACAGAAAGTGCAAAGCAGAAAGCACAGTAAAGGAAGGTAGAAACTATACAACAAAAATGTAAAGCGTACCTCTCAAGCTTGCCAGTAACCTCCGACTCTGTTCCCGCTCTCGCAGGATGTCGAGCTCATATAGCCATATAATGTGGCTAAGCTAGCACAACCTCAATCGTAGAGCCAGACCTGCAATAAATCCACAAAGCTGATCAGAAGATACAATCCTACAGTGTTCGCCCTGTTCGCGAACAAGGTGGTGCCAAAGAGGAACATAAGAAAGCCTTGGGTGTAGTGCTCTGTCTTTTCAATTGTCTCTGGCTCGGTCCCCCAGAACCGCTCCGCAAACTAACTGTATCACACTATCCCCGGTCGTAAGTGAGGTGGGTGTGCCCCTAACAGGTAGATCCAGGCGGCCTCTCATTCGCCCATGTCCATATCATAAGGAATTGAGTGACCCCCTACTCCTCTGCCGGTGAGCATAAAGAAGTCAAAGGGAGTCATCGTCATCACCCCAGTAGTAGAGAAGTGGAAAGAGTTGGTGGTATCCCACCACCTATGTACCAATGTTCCAAGTAAGGGCCGACTCGCAATAAGGCGTGATAGCCCCTTGCAGAATGTGCCAAAGCCGGCCTCGTCGATAATGTGGCAGACACCGTCAGGAAGCTCCATGTACCAGTCCCTCGCGGGCGTGGCTCCATGGCCTCTGATAGTACGAGAGTCCTCTTGTGATCAAAACGGTGATATGCGGCAACATAAGAACAAGCAGATGAAAAGGCAGTGTAAGAAATACAGTGCAAGAGTGTGATTAGGGCAAGAAATACAGTAAGAGGCAAGAAATGCAGTGTAAATATTATAGTTGAAGCAAGGAACACAATTAAAGCAAGAAATGCAATGTACAGTGAAGAGAACAAGAGAATACGGTGTATACCTCGGTGGCGCCGTAAGACAAATGGGAGTCCGGCTCTCGTAGCAAGTGGTCATCTAGTGCACCTCATGCAAACCCTTTGAAATGTCGGATACTCTCAGGTGGTAGCACATGCATCTGAGGATGATATGTCGTCGGATCAAAGGGTCGAATCCTAGGTGGTAGCATTGGCTCAGGCTCTGCCTCCATCTTTGGAGATAACTGGGGTGGGATCTTCGGGGAAGCTCCTGTCTTAAGGTATGTCATCCGCATCTGGAAGATGAGAAAGTGAAGGAAAATAGGTGGAAAATGCCAAAAGTCAAACCCTAGGAGAGAGAAAAGTGAAGAAAAAGTCAAAGCCCGAAAAAGGCACCAAACCCAAGAAGAACTTGAAGGAAATAGGCCTCAAGTGGTGAAACTCCAAGAAAAAACACTGAAATCAAATTCAATCGGTTCAAAACAGAGTAATCTAAGAGGGTTTAGCGAAGGAAATGTGCGTGGGGCATTGGAAAATGCGTAAAAAGCTTGTATCTGGAGAGGGAAAGTGTCTAGAGAGAGAGATGGAGGATTTTCGGCCTTGGAGGAGTGAGGAAATGAAGTATGGGTGAGTGTTTATAAAGACCCATGGTGAAAAGACCATTTTGGGCCCGATTTGCCATCGGTGGTCGACCGGCCACCACGGTTGGCCGACAATATTCAGGGGTGGCCGACAGGTGGCCGATACCCTCTCCTTGCGGCCGTCCAATGCCCAGTGCTCCTATATTGAATTTTGATGCTGTTTTTATCCCTGTTTCCCGAGAGGTGCAAGGAAAGGTCACTGTTGAGTTCAAATTCTCTCTGTGGAAGCTCGAAACCGTGTTTTCGGTGATCGTAGTTCGTCACTTGTTGAATGAGGTGTATCATTTTTTTTGCATATCACAGCATTTCTGAGAGGTAAATCGGAAAGTTGCTACTTAACTTGTTTCGATAAAATACGCTTTCATTCTTGCATAGACTATGCATTTTTTTGTACTTTGCATAGAACATGCATTTTTGTACTTTGTATAGAACATGCTTTCAATCGTGCAACATGCATTTTGTACTTTGCATAGAACATGCTGTCAATCGTGCATAGGACATACATTTAGTACTTGACGTTGCATATGCCTTCGTGTAGCGTTTTGCATCGATTGTTTTCTTTACATAGAACATGTATTCTTACTGTATCACATTTGTTGAGTTTTATGTAGGTACGATATTGTATGTATGGTTCATTTGAGAAAGTAAAAGATATTGTATGTACAGTTCATTCAGAGGAGTTTCAGGTAAAATCATTCGTGTCCTTGCGAATCGTATCCTTACACTCTTCCTCCTCTCGCATGAGACGCGTTAGGATCCATTCGGTTAAAAACATTTGGGTGCATCCTGGTGTCCACATCACCTTTTCTCCTCTCACATGAAACGCGTTTGGACGTATTCCTTTTCTCCACTCGCGTGAAACGTGTTTGGACGTATTCTTTTTCTCCACTCGTGTGAAATGCATTTGGACGTATTCCTTTTCTTCTCTCACGTGAAATGCGTTTGGACGCATTTTTTTTCTCCACTCGTGTGAAACGTGTTTGGGCATATTCACTTTCTCCTCTCGCGTGAGACGCGTTTGGACGTATCCACTTTTTCCTCTCGTGTGAGACGTGTTTGGATTTGTTCACTTTTCTCCTTCCGCATGAGACACGTTAGGATCTCGGTTGAAACCTTGGGTGAGCCCAATGGTTGTGTTGCTTTTCGCCTTTCCTGCACGTCGCATGGTTAAGCTTGCATAATTTTCTTACATCCTTTCTGCATGAAATGTGTTTTGGCTCATAATTCTCATGTGTGGCATGTTCATTTACTCATCTCTTTCATGTTTGGGATGTTGTACCTTGTTTCAGTTTGTTTGAATGTGGCATTTTCATTGCATTGCATTTGCATTTAAATGTTTCATTACAGTCTCATTGGATGATCATAAGTTATGTTCTTGCATCGTGCATTGCATTTCGCCCCAGAACTACGCTGGTTAGATTCCTTGCAAAGGGATACGTAGACAGCCTGTGGGCACGACCATTTGTTTTCTAGCTTTGTTTGTTTGTCCAAGTCTTCGGCCTTGTCAAAAATGGGTTGTCTTTGGGATTTGACATTCATTCTCGTCATTTCATGACTTCTGAGTTCTGTCAAAGAGGGGCAACTGTAGAAACCCCATTTTTGACCGACCTTAAAACTTAGACGTCATCGCTCGTGCACTCGATGATTATGACTACATGTGTTCGTTTTGAGTGCTTGAAGTCCTCGGTGAAACGCCCTGCCATTGAGCCTTTGAAGCTTGTCCATTTTGTGCTTTGTTTTGGACCAAACCTTGCTGTTTTAAGTCTGGAAGTTTTGGTGACCTGTCGGCCACCACCAGACACTGTCGACCATGGCTCACGGTTGTCGGCCATTGGTGTGGCCGATTGGCTACTAGTGGTGGCCGATGGTCACCAGTGTCTTTTTCTTGATATTTGTTGACAGTTGTGCCAACTGTTAGCACATTGAGCTGCATCTCCCTACACATGTATGGTAGGATGTTTCTAAGCTCAAGGCTTGTTCTTCTATATATATGGGGGTTCCTTCCCCATTTTGGAGGGTTAGAAAATTTGGAACCAAATTATCTCTCTCTCTCTACACTTCTCTCTCTCTCTCTTGAAATTTTATAGACATTTGCTCACAAATCCTACACTTTTGCCTATACATCCTTGATAGAAATTGCTAGTCTTTGGGCTAAGGTAGCTTGGGACTTATTTTGAGCTCTAGAATGTGTGTGTGACTTGAATTTGTTGGCCAAATTGTGTTTTCTCTTCAAGAGGTATAGCACTCTTTCTTTATGCTTGTTTTGTACCCTTACTTTGCCATCTTTTTCAATTGTTTTGAGGCTGATTTTGAACCATAAAAAGCTCTATTTTTATTGCTTAAAAGTGTTTGAGGCCATTTTCAGTTAAGGGGTGGTTCACCCTTCTTGCTTCTTTGCTTGTAAAGTTTTTGTGCCTTTGTTCATCACTTTCAAATCAACGTTTTTGGGCCTTTTAACCAGTGAATTTCAAAGGTTTTTTAGCAACGAAAAAATCATTTTGAAGTCCAAAATTGGAGATGTTAGCCTCCCCTTCTTGTGTCTTGTTTGCATGCCTAGTTAGCCTCATGTATTTGCTTAATGTTTTAGCTTTTTGTGGCTCAAGTCTAGCATGCTTTACACTCTGTTTTGAACTGTTTTGCCACTATTTTGGCTTTTTAGGGCCTTTTGAGTCTTGTTTTGCATAGTTGAAGTGTAAGTCCTTTCACTAGCTTGGTGTTTTTAGGCTTTAACCACTATTGGTAGCCTACCGGCCGCTTATCCCACTTGTCGACCATTAGTGAAATTTGCACAGTGTGTTGGTAAGGTAGGGCAGAGGTGTTCTGGAAGTGGGTAGCATTGTTAGTGTTCAAATGTGCAAATAGAGGCATTCAACAGCAAGGCAGTGGCTTTTCGAGTGGAAACCGAGCATGCATGGGCCTCCCTCGCATCCTGGGACGAGTTATCTTGTTAATTAGTTTAAATTAATTAGCTTATGATTAGCGTATTTTGAAATTCAAATATGTGTTGTAATTAATTAGTTGTAGCTAATTAAGTTTTGTAATTAGTTAACTAGAATAGTTAGTTAATTTATTTCGGTTTTGTAGAAATTAGTTAGCTTAATTAGCGTAGCTAGTTGATTAGCTTATTCATTCGGACCCTCCTTCATGAGAGCGTAATGTTGTAATAAGTGTGTGTGCGTGCGTACATGTATGTCTTCCAACCCCACGTCTTTCTCCCTTTTATTTAATGGCTTTTGATGGTTAGATTAGGGACATATTTCAAATTAGCATACCTTATGCTTGCATCCATTCATTTGTATCGCATCATTCAAATTGCATTGCTACTTCAATACTTATTGAATACGTGTTTAACCACATGTTATTTAAATTGAATCATATGCCATATTAGTAGCCGAGCCTATTAATTGCTTATTGCATATGTTGCGTTAGGCATCTTGTGTAGTTAGGAACCATGCATAATTTTACTAACTCATATCTTCTTAGCTTGGAGTACTAGGTGAGTTTTTACGCTTTAGCATATTTGCATAAGTGTGAATGTTGCCATGATTAACATGCTTGCCATGAGGCTATGTGCTTAAATGCTAAACTGCTTGAATGCCTGTGGATGAAGGGTCATTGTTTGAATTAAAACGATTTAAAAAATGTAAGTTTTAAGCCCACTTTGTTGAGTGGCAAATCATGTTTTAAGCCCACTATGTTTGGTGGCAATCCGCAAACCTTTAAGCCCACTTGAGGTGGCAAATTCAAACCATTTTCGCAAACAAACATGAGTTGAATTGTTCCACATTGAGCAAACTAGTCTATACTTGCTTGTGCGCATCACATAGTAAAGCTAGCTTAATAACCGAAACAAGAGCACATAATGTTTATAAAAAAATCATATCATGATTAGTAGAGGCCGATCTTTGATTGGGCGAGCAGGGGTTGCTCAATTCATAACCTTTCCCCCTCATACCTAAGTTCCTGAGTCGAGGCAACTTTGGTGATGACGGATACGTGGCCTTTGGCATGAGTCATGGGTTTTCTAAATTTTTCCAAAATAAAATATTTAGGTGGTGACTTTGTATCTAGCAAAGCAGTCCAATTTTGGTATTTTTGATCCTAAAATCAATTTTCCAAAATGATTTGCTGGATCTGGACTCTTTGGTTTATCCGTTTCACATTGCACTTGTGAGATTAGATTCAGAACCACGTGAGTCCGAACTGTAGGGCTTTCTTTCAACCTTCCGAAAGGGGACGCGAAAAAGGCGAGCTATAACTCTTAATATCAAGGGATTAGGATAGGCCTTGGAAGAGGGGATTGGGATAGAGGAGGTATTAGAAAAATAGTCCGCTAGATTTTATTTATTTATTTATTATATTATTATTATTTTTGAACATTAATGTTTAATGTTTTGTATTTTTTGTTAAGTAAAAACCATTGTTTTATTTGTTTTATTTTTTTCTTGAAATTTTTTGTTTATTTTTTACATGTTGGGCATTTTTTTTGAAGATTAATGTTTAATATTTTTGTATTTTTTATTTGTTTTATTATTTTATATAAAAATAATTTAACAATCCCTACACCAACAACTATCATCAAAACAAACACAATTTTACTTAATCCCCCTCACTATCAATCCTTTTACTAACAATCCCTCCCTATGAATCCCCTCCATTCTACATCTGAAAACAATGGGGCCTAATAGTATTTTACCCCCTTATCTTTTAAAAATAGCCATATGCCCCCCATGCGATTTTGGACTAAAATGCAATCGTTAACACCATTAATTATAGATGTGAAATGACAATAATACTCTTAAACCCTATATTTTTTATTATTTTGTTTCTCTCTCTTCTCTCATACACATAATTTATAATGTCTAGTATTAATATAATTAAATTACAATTAATTATAAATTATAAATTATTTATTGTAATTATAAATTATAAATTAATTGTAATTACAGCGCAGAAGAAGAAGCAGAACAAACAGATTGATAAACAGCTGGAATAATATCACAAAATTTAAATACAATTTAATAAAAACTTACAATTGTTTAATGGAAGTAACTGCAAGGAGTTAGTTCAAAATACATTGTTCATCCAAAGAAAGAAGAAAATTGACTAGTTGACTAGGTGTTGGTTCTCACTTAGATAGTTTTGAACCTCTTGCCTACAATTGACTAAGTTATTACAATTTATAGAAAGAAAATCAACTATGCAGCATGTGACTGAGATGATCAGGAGAGCAGCTGGCAGCACATGGGATTGAATAGGCTGTCGGATGCTTTCGGTTGATTGATGTAGCTTTAGCAGATTGATTGAGAGATTAACAGTAAAAGTGAATAGTGACTTCTTATTATTCATTACTTTCGGTGGAGACATGTTACTAGGGAATCAATATAAATACAAATTGGCGGCTTTTCTCAAAAAAGTATTGATTGAAGCTAATTTGTATCTATATGGAATCCAATGTAGAGCTGACTAGGCATATGGGTCCTGAGCATTTTGAAACTCGGGTCCATATGGGTTTTGAGTAGTTGATCCTTCAGAAGAGTTTGAACTGTTTGAACTCTCTTCTGTACTACTGTTATCCAAATCTGACTGGGCTTGGGCCTGATTAACCCGTAGACGAGCCATTTTGAGCAGCTCATCTTTAGATGATTTGGACTTGGACTTATCCTATGACTTAGATTTATCCTCTGACTTGGGCTTAACAGTGCTAGGCTTTGCTGTTTGTGACTTAATCTTTGACTTGGATGACTTGGGCTTGGAAGAACCTGATGTTGGGCTTCCAAGGTTGACTGTAGGAAGCTGGCTTACTGGAAGTTGGCTTCCTTGTGTGACTGAAGCAATTGGGATCTGCTGAGCTTTAACCATGGCAGGTGTAGGAGCACGAATATTAATAGGGAATTCAGATTGAACAATTTCAACAATGCGGGAAACTCTGAAGTTATCCCACCATTTAACCTTATGTTGACGGTAAATCACATCATTAGAAATACCATATTGCCATTTGAATATCCAAGGAATTTTGTGTTTGGATATAAAAATAAGCAATGGAGGGAATTTCCGCTGCTGATGAGTGAATGAGAAAACAGCTGAAAAATAGTTAACCTGTTCCATCACAATTAATGGGAAGATATCTGAAATGGCGCTATACTGAGTCCACCATCTCAGAAACCAAGTAGGTAATTCATATTTAAACTTTTGATCAAATTAGAGAAACCAGGAGTGACTAAATGTTTCAGTTTAGTAGAGAAACACTTTGAACCAAGCATCAATATAGTCATAATAACTATACTGAAGGGAGTGATTAGGTAAATCTCGAAGTTAATAAGGAGAACCCCATTGAACTAAAGAAACAATGTTGTGAATATAAAGTGAATGGTAAACAACTTTACTAGTGTAAGTGAGATCATAAATAAGTTTAATCACAATTGATTGATGATTGAATAGGATGTCTTTATAGAAGGTAATGGTTTTCTCTAGATGGAGAGGAGTAAAATGCCATCCAGGAGGGAAATAAGATTTAACCAAATCATTAACAGATTGACTCTTTGGATGACTAGGTTCTTTGGAAAAGAGATTAGTAGTGGTGGAATTAACATAATCAGAACGGGCTAATTTAATAGGATAAAGAGGGCATGGAGCAACTGCTCGGTTGGAAGAAGCAAAAGGATCAGTAGCCAAAGCAGATGTGTAACTAGGTTTAGGAATGTTACCAAGAACTTGGTAACGGTTAATCATTTCAATAGGATGGTATTTGGTTACTAGCTCCAATGGAGGTGGAACAATAGGTTGACTAGAAGGGACCAAGGCTTTGGAAGGAGGCCTGGGACGAGACATTTGTTAATAGAGAAACAAAGATTAGCAACAAAGATTAGCAACCACTAAGGCGGTTTAAATAATTTTGATGATAATCCAAACAGTTGTAATAATCAGCAAGTAAATGGCGACGAGCTTGAATCTGACGAAATTGAATGTATTGAGCACGCTTAGTAGTTTTTCGGGCTAATTTTAATCGAGCAATTCTGTAAGAAGTATGGTGAATCAGATCACGGTAATGGGTAATTTAGGTTTTATGGTAAGCAATAAATGGAGTGGTGTGGACGTTTCTTTCCACAGCTCGGACTCATTTGTGTCGGTTCTTAATCTGATCTCACAATGTGTGATGTGAGATTGATAAATCACCAAAGAGTCCAAATCCGGCAAATCGTTTTGAAAAAAACTGATTTTTGAAAGAAGTGCCAAACATGGACTGCTTTTCCAGATACAGAGTCGCCACCTAAATATTTTTTATGGGGGAATTTAGGAAACCCTAACTCATTTGCCTAAGGCCACGTGTCCGTCATCACCAAAGTTGCCTCGGCTCGGGAACTCGGGTACGATTGGGGAAGGTCAGCTATGAGCACTCTCACTCGCTTGATCAAAGATCGGCCTCTACTAACCATGATATCTAGTTTTGAAAACATTATGCGTTCTTATTCCGGTTATTAGCCTAGATTTACTAGGTGATGCGCATAGCATACAAGTATAGACTGGATCGCCTGAATTGGAACAAAACATTTCATGTTTGTTTTGAAAACAGTTTGCTACTCGCAAGTAGGCTAAAATATAGATTTTGCCACCCTCGAGTGGGCTTAGAAAACATGGTTTTGCCACTTTCAAGTGGGCTTAAAACTCGCATTCAATGCATTGTTCCAATTCAAATAACCCAACCTTCACCCACAGGCATTTAGGCAGGTATATTACATAAGCATATAGCCTCATGGTAAGCATGCTATCATGGCAAATACTCACACACATGCGGTATGCTAAAGCATGAAAGCTTACCTAGTACTCCGAGCCAAAGAAAGAAGCTAATTAGAAATCATGCATGGATCCTACCTATACTGAGATGCCTAATGCAACACATACAAAAATGCAACTATAATAGGCTCGGCTATTCTACAAAATGGCATATGAGATGCTACAGATAACATGTATTCAACTTGGAATTGAAATACAATGCAGTTAGTATGATGCGCCGAGCCGGTGCATGCAAGACAGATGAATGAATGCAGACATGCTATCATACTGTATGCTAATTGAAACATGCCCTAATCTAACCATTAAAAGTAGGTAAGTAAAAGGGAGAAAGAAGTGGGGGTTGGAAGACATGCACCCACTCACGCACGCTTATTACAAAATTGTGCCCTCTCTCGGAGGGTTCGAATACAAGCCGCCTAATTAACTATCTAACAAGCTAATTAATTATTACAAAACCAAATGAATAACTAGCTACAACTAATTATTACATAACTTAATTAATTAACAAATTAATTATTACAAATAACAAATGCTAACTAACAAGTAATCAGTAAAAAGAATTGCTCCAGCTCTGTTTGAAGAAGAGGAGGGCATGCATGCTTGCTTCAGTTCCTCGCCTCGAAATGCCTTCCAGAGGCTTTGCTGGCAAGGTGTCTTCTAATGCTTGTTGTTGAAACTTACCAAAACACTGCTGGAGGGATACACCAGTGGATTGCCGGCCATGGAGGAACATTGCCGGCCACTTGCCGGCCAGGGATGAGATGCTGCCGGTCATAAATGGTGCACTGCCGGCCATCAATGGTGCACTGCCGACCACTGGTGTGCTGTGACACCAAGCTGCAACAAAGCACAAAATAGAGAAAATGGAGGGTCTCCCAAGGGTGTGTACGCACTATGCCACCCCATATCACCTCAAAACATCAAGGAGAGGCATAGTCGGATCCACGACCATCAATCACGCATCCCGATGCATGATGGCCAAAGATCCAACTTGTGCAAATCAATATGAAAATGAATGCACAAATAAAACAAGCAAAGCCTAGAACTCTGTCATGAATCATCAAGAGCTTCGGCGATCGAGAATTGAGACACGTTTCATCACTCGGAGTATGAAACGCCCCTCGTTCCTCGTGCTTGGATTAACACTTAATCCAAACAACGATGCGACACATAAGCATGGCAAACATGCAATATGACTTAAGTGTGCAAACATGCAACTAACTCAAGCATGCAACAAGCATATAAGCATGGTGTGAGGCAACAACCTTGGACAACATGGCAGAATGCAACATGAAACATGCAAACATACAAGGCATGTAAAGGTAAACGAGTATACAACAACATACGAAATGAAACAAGCATGCGACAACATGGTAAGATGGGCTTACACCAAAGATGGACAGCTCTCAAATAGGTCCAAATCAGTAGCCAAAAGTGATGGGATTAAGCCACCAAAACACACCCAAGCATGCAAAAGGCTCATCAAAGAGGCCTAAAAGGGCAACCCTCAAGAGTGCTTAAGGAGTGACAAATGTGCAAGTGTAACAACATTAGATGCACTGAAATGAGATGATAAATGATGCCAAATCATTTAAACAACACAAAGATAGCATGCATGAGCCAACAAAACACAAAGCTTGCAAGGCCAATTACACTACAGCTATACAAAGCATGAAGGATGTGGCAAGGGCAGCCCAAAACAGTCTTAGTACATGTTAATATGAGACTAAAACATGTATGGAAGTAAGCCAAAACAAGCTAGCATACAATGCTAAAACATGGGACATGCAAGGCTACAAAAGAGGCAGTGCACTACACCTATTGGAATCAATCATGGCATGACTTGAACAACATAAAACAAAGTTACATTATGGTATAAGAAGACCAAAAATGCACTGAAATGATGAGCCAAAGGCTTAGGCTTAATGGCATGCACAAAAGCTCATTCTTGAGGCATAAAGCACAAGCTCTATAAAGCATTCAGAGCATGTCAAATGCAAGTGTGTGACAACATTTCATGGACTGAAATAGCAAGTGGAATGAGGGCAAGGCATGCAAACATCACATGTATGGCATGGTAGGGGCCTCAAAACCCAAGACTAGCCTAAGCATTTACACTATAGCTATACAAAGCATGAGTGATATGGCCATGGCAGCCTAAAACAGTCCAAGGACAGCCCAAAATAAGCATAAAATCATGTTAGAGCAAAGCCAAAATATGCTAGGATGATGAGTCAAAACATCATGCACAAGAGGCTAGTAAATAAGATTTGTTCTACACCTATATGGAGCATGCAAAGGATGACCAGACCAAACCAAACCAAACATGGATAGGGTCATGATATGGAAAAACATTACCAAAAACATGCTGAAATGTAAACCAAACAAGCTAACAAGACATGACAAAGCATGAAGCATATGAAGCTAGTTTAGGGGATTTACACTACAAGTGTATCATGCAAGCATGGAGTGACAAAACCAACTCAAAACAAATCCATGGCCTGGTAAAACATCACCAAAACCCTACTGAAATGGACTCAACACAAGCTAAGCAAACATGCTACTTTGATGAGCTATGAATGGAGTTACACTACACATACAAGATACATGCAAAATATTACCAAACCAGCCATGGATAGGGCCAAGGCAGGTCCTAGAAGTCACAAAAAATGGCCTGAACCAAGCCTCAAAAGTGTAGAGAGGCATGCTCCTTTGTAAGGTCAAAAAAGCAAGCAAGCAAAAACCAAAAGAGAGGGGGACACCCCCTCTGATTTGAGACCTCAATACCACATGGATTTCAGTGGTAGAAAGGCCAAACCAAGGCTAGC